TTGGCCCCCTGGACCAACAGCATCAAAGTGTGGGTGGAAAAGGTGAAACACCCACAGCTGCTTCCACCCTCGTTTGCCCCACTCTGGGCCATTCAGCAAGCCCCTTAACCCCCACCATCTGCTACCCCGACTGTCCTAGATAGCAGCCCTCTGATCCACACAGAGGGCTGTGGTAGCTCGATGGTCAGTGGCTGCGTCAGGAAGGGCATCCAGCATAAAAACAATTGCCGAATCTTGGTGAAAGTTAGTTCACTGTGGCGACAGGAAGGGAGAAGCCAAAATGAAAAGTATTATGTTGCACAACATAGTATGTATATAGGTATTTATTGTATATTTCATATCTAACTGAACTGTATATTGAGCATGAACTTAATGTTTTGAACCACTTTGGCCATGGCTGCCTAAGAGGAGTTGACGGGGGAGAGGGCAAACTCCCGAAACCATCTTATTACCAGAAAACTGGTTTGTCCACTATGTGAAGGTGCTACTTGTGGGACTAAGTTTGTTGTGGCTCCTGGGACTGATGATGTCTTGGATGAAAGATGAAACATTTCATCAAAAAAGAAACCGTCCAGAGGACCTGACTTAACTTTGTTGATTTTTTTACCTGGATTATTGAGCATGAAGTTTGATGTATTGTGCAGTACTGTCTTGCATTGCATCATGTTAACTTGTATGTCATTGTATTGAACCATATTGTATCACAAAGCATTGTATCATATCATATTTCACATTATATTGTATCTTATAAGTGCTACTATCAAGTTTTGAAAACAGTATTTTTTCTTGAAATTATAAGATAAATCCAACACATTAATTTAGCTCTTCTGTTGTAATAATTCAGACATTTTAGCATCTAAAGTACCATGTAATTTGTCATTCGGTGAAAACTACTGCATTCTTTTTAGTCAGTTAACACAATGAACAAGCACAAAAGTGATAATACTGCAATAAACCGAGAGTGGTATCTACCAAACTGATTCTTAAAACCAAAATGTACGTATGCGAATATAATTGTGCATCAACTAAAACGCTAATTATGCCCAGAAAAGATGAAGTGAAAAGAAAAAGGTGTTAGTGTAGAAGACACTTTCCATAATCCAAAACCTGCTTCTGTATGTTCCCTGAGGGCTGTTTCACACCTTCAACAAGGGATAAGTGACTAACTCCAAACATGCAGAACAACCAAATTTACCATACTTATTCCATGACCAATTAACAGAGCTACTCTGAGCAAAACAATTGGCCGGATTTGGTTTCCAGCGTCCAGCTCATGAGGGATTCACAGCATCCACCTTGTCCTGCCCAGGAGGCCTATCCACTGATCCAACAGACAGAAGTAAGACAGCGCAGCCGCTCAGCTGAGAAGATTCCAGTTAACTGGTGCAGCCAAGGGCAGAAGCAAGGAAGCAGAAAATGAAAGGAGAAAAAGGGATCCGGGGGCTTTTAAAAATCCACCAAGGGCTACAAATGGGAGACTGCAAGGAGACAACATCCTACTCCCTCAATAAACCTATTTCTTGGTAGACATTTTGATTTGAAATAGCAGGACAAGCACAGGTGTTTTAATGTGGGTTGAATCCTTTTATATATTGTATTTTGCATATTTTTTTTTAAAATCACATTTATGTAGAGGGGTATGGATATATACCCATTTAGGGGTATAATATTTTTGTGGCTTTTTTTCTCTTCTGGGGTCTCCACAGCAAGTCATCCTCCTCCATCTTACTCTGTCCTCTGCATCCACTGTCCTCACTCCAACTACCACCATGTCCTCTCTAACTGCATCCATATATCTCCTCTTTGTCTTTTTCCTGGCAGCTGCATTTCTAACATCCTTCTACAAATATACCCACTGTCCCTCCTCTGGATAAGTCCAAACCATCTCAGTCTGGCCTCTCTAACTTTACTCCCAGTTGTTCAACCTGTGCTGTACCTCTGATGATCTCATTCCTAATCTTATCCATCCTTGTCACTCCTAAGGAGAACCTCAACACCTTAATTTCTGCCACTTGCGGTTCTTCTGTTTTTTTGTCTATGTCTCTTTCTCCAAACCACACAACGTAGCTGGTTTCACAACCTTTGACTTTTGCTGACACCTTTTTATCACAAATCACTCCTGAAACTTTTCTCCATCCACTCCATCCTGCCTGGACTCTCTTTTTCACTTCTTTACCAGACTCCCCATTTTCCTGGACAGTGGACCCCAAGTCCTTGAAGTCCTGCACCTCTGTGGCCTCTGCTCCTTGTAGCCTCACTGTTCCACCTCCTCCCTCTCATTCACACACATGTACTCTGTCTTACTATGGCTGACTTTCATTCCTCTTCTTTCAAGTGCATACCTCCACTTCTCCAAGTTCTCTTCCACCTGCTTCCTGCTCTCACCACAGATCACGTCATCAGCAAACATCATAGTCCATGGGGATTCCTGCCTGATCTCATCAGTTAGTCTGTCCATCACCAGAGCAAAAAAGAAGGGGCTCAGAGCTGAGCCTTGATGCACTCCCACCTCCAACTTGAAGCTATCTGTCACTCCTACAGCACATCTCACCATATTCCTCAAACATGTCCTGTACCAGTCTAACACACTTCAGATTTCCTCATGCAATACCACATCTCTTGCCTCAGCACCCCTTTGTATGCTTTTTGTAAATCCACAAAGACACAATGGAGTTTTTTTTACCCTCTCTGTACTACTCCATCAGCATCCTCAAATCAAAGATGGCATCCGTGGTGCTCCTTCTTGGCATGAAACCATACTGCTGCTCACAAATAGTCATATCTCCTCTATGTCTAGCTTCCACAACTCCCTCCCAGATCTTCATTGTGTGACTCATCACTTAATTCCTCTGTAGTTGCTACAACTCTGTACATCACCCTTGTTTTTAAAAATGGCCACCAGCACACTTCTTCTCCATTTCTCAAGTATTTTCTCACCCTCAAATATGCCATTGAATATTTGCGTCATACATAAACCTCACTGCCATCTCTCCAAGACAATTCCAAAACTCCACAGGTATGTCATTCATTCAACGTTTATTTATACAAGTTAATCCCATTGGGCCTCGGGGACTCATTTACAAAAGAGATCTGGTCATTAGGTCCTACTACCTTCCCCTTCTTCATTCTTCTCAGAGCTTTCTGGACTTCACCCTCAATAATCGTTCCCACTTCCTGGTCCACAGTTTCTATGAACCTCTACTCTTGTTTCTTTTTCATTATCTTCATTCATTAGCTCCTCAAAATACTCCTTCCATCTTCCCATCACACCCTCCTCACTTGTTAAAACATTACAATTCCTATCTTTAACAAGCCTAACCTAATGCACATCCTTTCCAGCCTGATCCCTCAGTCTCACCTATCAGTACCATTTAGGGGTATAATAATATGAGTATATCATAGATATGCTCTGTATGCAAAGGAATAGTTTTAACTGTTTGCAAAACTCCTTTGACGAAACTTGTTTCCAGTCAGTAACATGGGACTTCTATTCAGGGGATGACAACCCCACTATGGTTTCCATGATCTACAACCAATGGTTGGAAAGACTCTAGTGTGAATGCTGCTACATGATAAATAGTTGTATTTTTCCTGCAATTTTCCACAACCCCTAGACTTTCTCCTAATAGGAAGATTCCTGAGCACACATCACGTCAGGATGCATTTATGATATTGTGTTTGCTCTAGATTGTTTCCATAGCATCATGACAATCATGGTCATGAGGTCAGTGTATTCACTCTTGCTTCAAGGTCTTGAGAACCATACAATGCCAGAGAGGTGCTCCTACATTCTGGATATGCCGCCTTGCTCCAATCAGGACCTTGATGCAGTGCCCCCACAATAATAAACCACTACATGCAAGCTACAAAAGTTCTATGCATGTTCAAAACCATTGTGGACACGTCACTAATGGAAGTCCACTTGATTCTTAATTTACCCCTGTTGACCTCGACAGAGCCATGTAAATAAAGATCACTCAAGTTCTGGCTGATTTGTTTACACTGTAGCAGAGTCATCTTGTCCAAAGGTGGTCTTACCAGCAGCAATGGGTATCTTCTCAGTTTTGAGAAATCCTCATTAATGAGTTGATTTCCAAAAACAATTCAAACCTTGAAAATTTTGTAACCAATATCTAACAAGGTTGAGTCAGGTCCTCTGGACGGGTTCTTTTTTTGTTGAAGCATTGTCTTTTATCATTTTTAGTTCTTCATCTCCTTTGGATAGGGGGAGTGGTGGCGAAGAGGTTAGAGAACGTGGGCTTGTGATCGGAAGATCACCAGTTCAAGCCCCTGTACCGACAACATCAACAATGTGGGCAGGGTAGGTGAAGCACCCACACCTGCCCCCACCCTCATTCACCTTACTCTGGGCCCTTGAGCAAGGCCCTTAAACCCCATCTGCTCCCTAAACAGGTCTCTCTTGAAAATGAGTTAGCCTTCCAAATGTGACGTTCTCTTTAATTCTTCAAACTAAGATTGCTCTGACTATGGTGACTGGTAAGCTTAGAAGTCCTTCACAGAATCTAAACATTTCCTTTTTTTTATGTTATAGTAAAACCGTTTTTTTTCCCACCTCTGTGTGTGGCTATACCTGTCACTAATAAATAGATGTTGTTTTAGTTTTACATAGTTTCACAAACCAATACTTGGTCTTAATAGTGTTATTTGTAAAGTGAGAAACATCATCAGCAAAGTTTCACAACATTTTTTGCAAGAACAATGATCAAAAGCAAGACTACTTGCTTCCAGTAAATTCTCTTGGAGTAACAAACTTCTTTTTTTTTTTTTTTTCACCTATCACTGATTTCTCACACAAACCCAGTTTGACAGTCGGTTGCTCACCTGCTTACCCCGTCGGTCACTCACACTTGCAAATGCTTTGTGACAGCACCGATGCACTCGCTCGTGTAATCACAGAGACATATACAGGTTGGGGTGACGGTGCCTTAGGCCACTGCTGCGAGTGTGTGATTAGAGGAGAATCGAGGACATACACTCACCCCTGTTAAGGTCTTTATGTTATGCAGTGCATTCTGGGCTTCAAGAGCAGCTTTCCTCGTGTAGAACGTGACAAAACAGCAGCCTGGGGAGAAGGAGAGAAAACAGACAGAGAGGGATCAGCATGAGGCGCAGCAAAGAGCATCTTCCACATTTATCTGCCTGGTATCACCTGTCGACACTGGCAGACACAGCGTGAAAGTAAAGGACCAAACATCCAAGCTTTTGGATTTGTTTCAACGTTTGATGACTGGAGTTCCCAAAGTGTGCACACATGAGAGAGACGCGAGAACAAAGACAACAAAAAGACAGAAGGAAAGGTGGAGGAACAAGTTTTCTCCCCATTAATCATCAAGTAATCTGTGAACGATTGCTTTATTGCCCATTAACAAAAGAAAGCAGTCATTAACGTGTTTATTACTCATGTTTATGGAAGTGTTCTGCAACCTGTTTCTGGTTTTGATTTAGTGATTTGCAGGTTAAATACATTTCTGATTTGCCATGCTAACACTTGACTAAATCTGGACAAAAAGATTGTTTAAATATTTCAACAGTCTTTATTGTCATAATCGTATAACACAATGAAATGAGGAATGCAACAAAGTTGCTGAAATTTAACATAGAGCTTAAAACAGGAGTTGTGCAATAAATAGAAATACATAACTGCTTAAGACTTGCAGACAAATGCTTCAAGAAATTATTGTACTTACTCACAAACACAGTGTTGCATTGGTACTTGAATGCAAAAATAAAATTAAGTGGAAGGGACAGAAAAAAGAGCAGGATTTTGTGTTTTCAATGTTCGGTTTAATGCAAGCAGTGACATTTTGTTGATGTGAGTGAAAGTAAAGGATTAGTAAAGACTTTCTCAGATGAAAATTCTTTATTGGGTCTTTTGTGCTTGAATGAGCTAAACCATCATCAGTATGCTTCCTATATCTATCATATACAATGTCACATCATCTGCATAAAGACATTCAACACTTGCTCTTGTCAAGGACGGACGTATTTCTCCTTCTCTCCCTCTCAGCTTTGCTTTGCTCTGTCCTGTCTGTGAAACTGCTTAGAGTCTCTCTTCTACAAATTCTCAGAAACATAATTCTGCTTTGGATTTGGTCAGTTGGTTCCTCAACACAATTGAAAACATTTCTTCGACGAGAAGACAGGCTTTAGGTGAGCCTATTTGCCCTGTTGGCATGCACGCAGCTCGATATCTCATCGACTTGGAAGATTTGATGACGTGTCTATCTCTGGTGCCATTTGTGGATGTTAAGGACGCATATATAATTGGATTTATGATAACTGGTTTCAGTTTTTTGGATTCGGCTGGTTCCTGGTGTATCTACAATCAAGGAAGTCGTCTGCAGCAAATTTGGATCTGGTCATGCTGCTTGCCTTTTACGATGGCTTGGTTCGTGCCTGGAGCACCCAGACTCAAATGCTTTTGGCAGGATGGATCAGATCTCGGGAAATACTCTCAGGTACTGTCCATTGGTGTGACCATTTGATTTGGACGCTTTGGAACCAAGTGGACTGATACAGACTCAAGTTACAAGTCCATCAAGTTATTCCTGTCCCCAAAACAATCATGTTTATCTGAACTCGGCTCCCTGACTGGCCATGACAGGCCACCCTATCTTAATTTGCGCTGTTTGTACCGTCAGTTTTCGAGTGGCGGGGGTGCGTTCAGCGTGAAGGTTCAGCGTGAAGGAAGAGGCTGCTTTTAGCTTTTTAGCTAGTGCACTTGCATTGCGAGCCACTAGTTTAGCGTTATGTCAGTGCCGACAGGTGGGTGGGGGTGGGGTTCGGTAGACGGGGCGCTCGGTTCTGTTGACGGGGCAGGGCGCCCCACTTGTATAATGGTAGGGGAAACACAGTGATTTTATCTGAACTCTGCAGTGCCTCTGTGTGTTGTCTCTGGACACGCTCACCACCCTTATGCCCCCCCCC